TCTCTCACCTATGTTGGATGAATGACTCTAAAGATCATCAACTGTTCTAACAGTTTTCTCATAAAAATTCAAGATGTGAGAGCAATCAGACTTCACCACAAAGACTATAATGACTTCAAATGAATCAAAGCATTTTCATGAGCAAAAACATAATACTTTTAGGGATAAGAACAATGAGGGAACTGTATTGAATTGCTGTGCAATTTTGCAAACGGGAAACCTCCTGCCATGCAGAGTTGTCTGACTTGAGTTGGAATGTCTGTAAGTTGACTCACTGTATGAGCACCTCCAAAAATATCATCCACATATCTTCCTTTCAATAATGGATCTACAGCTAGAGGGAATTTATGAGCCTCATCCTTTACTAGCTGGATCATTGTACGAAGAGCCAGGAATGGAGCTGATCTGGTACCATACGTGACTGTTGTGAGTTGATATGGGATGATGTTGGAGTGTTCATCCACCCAAAGGATCCTCTGAAGATCCCAGTCATCTTGATGGACTTTGATTTTTCTGTACATCTTCGTGATGTCTGAAGTCAACACAAATTTATGCTGCCTGATCCAAATGAGTACGTCTGCAATGTCTTTCTGGACCTTGGCACCTGTATGTTAAATATCATTCACTGACAGACCACTAGACAATGGACTTGAACTATTGAAGACTACACGGAGTTCTGTAGTGACTGCATTGGTGAGTTGACTGGATTTGCCTTGGCTCGTGTCATGTCGTTCAATGACTCATACTCTTGCATAAAATTGTGATACAGTTGTGCATATGAGTCATACCGTGTGAGTCACCAGAGAAACGTTTTTTACACCTGTTAGCATATGGAGATGGACATGATTCGTCTCCCTTTATTGTTGAGTTGTCTGGATGCTGAGTGATCATACCACTACTTGAAGAGTGAACTGAAACATAATCAGAGTTGACTGCAGAGAGTTGACTATGATACTGAGTTACCTGATAAGAAGTCTGTTCAAGTTGCCGAGTGTGATCTGGAGTTGGCTGTTAAAATGATACTTCACCACCTCACTGCTGGAAGTTTGATGGTTGTTGACTGCTTTGAGTAGGCTGCGGTTCTTGGCCTGATCCATCGCCCCTCATTCTCAATGAGTCCGTCCGGGGTGTATGGATCATTGAATGATGCTTCTGATTGCACACACTGCACCGTTTGTCAGGCTGGCACACCTGAATCGAGTGGTGGCCGAAGCAATTAAAGCACAGCTGTGCTGAGAAGACAGGGTTGTATCGCTCCTGTTGAGAAAGAGCTGCAAAAGATTAACAGTCAATTAAGTGATGATCTCGATTGTTGCACTGATCACAGGGGTAATCAGCCAGTCTTTATTGAGCCCCATACCTGGAGGCTCGAGTCGTCTGCAATTGAGTTGTCTGCTGGCGAATAGACTGTTGTTGTGACCTGGACTCCCTCGTGATTACTGGAGTAGGCCACCGTTTTGCCTAACGAGCTGCGTCTTGAGCGGACTTCATCGCACGTGCCCTGGTTGAAATGAAGGAGAGTTGTTGGTGAGCGAGATCTACTTCGCTCGAGTTCCCATGACTCATGTAGCAGCTGTTCTAGTTTGCTGGCCACCAGATAGACCGGAAAGTAGTCTGCTGAGTCGACTGGAATGTTAAGTGCCTTCAAGGCATCTAAGTTTTGGCATACCATGCCCACCAGATTGTCGAGTTGTTCAGCTGACTTTGATGATGGTGTGATCACACGGAACAAGTCCTTCATATGAGCGAAGATGAGTTGTTCCGGATCATCATATCTGGCCTTGAGTTGTTTCCAGGCTGGCTCGTAACCATTGTCATTCATGACAATGTGTCTTATGAGTTGAGCGGGTGGGCCAAATAAGTTACCCTTCAGGTAGTGGAGCTTTGAAACTGGCCGAAGGTCTGAGCGGTTATAGACCAGAGACGTGGACATGTCACGGAAGTGTGTCCAAGTTGATGAGTCGCCTGAGAATGTGAGTAACTTTATTTCAGGGAGAGTTGCCTGCTGGTACACCGCTTGAGTTAGCTGCTGGATTGATGCTCTGTACTCGTCGAGTGACTTTTGAATGTCTTTTCCGTGCAATTCAGATTCTACACAGTGGAGAGTTGACTCTGTATGATAGTGGAGTCGTAAGGCACTTTCATCGACTCTGTCAGTCATGTATGGGTGCTTGAAGAGTGTTAGCCGGCACCCAACACCTAATGCCTCGTGCTCTACTACAAAATATGTCCACAGCTCATTTAGTTGTGCGAGCTTACCTTCAATCGAACTTATTGGCACGAGAGCGGGCTGTCTCACTAGCTCAACCACATCCTGATACATGAATTGGAGCTGTTGGTACCTTGCCATTTGAGACGTCAGCTTGGATTGTGTTGTGTTGGCGATTGCTGGTGGCGAATTTGACCTGTCACGCTATGGAGATGCTCTTTCAGGCACCTTTAACGTGTTCTCGGTAACACCTTCTGCCTGAGAGTTGCCTGGAATGTTTGATGGCGCTTGGTCTACGCTCACTTTTTCCACCATTTCACTAACAGCTTCGATTGAATCCTTGTCGTCAGCTACATCCACGGAGTCCGACTTGGCAGAAGAAATTACATGTTTGTCTGCCATGATTCACTTAAGTGAGTTGTTTGAGATCACAAATAGTACACTTATCACTAAGAACTGCACAAAAACTAGTACAAGAGTCGTCTGATGTCACCTTGACACTAATGGTGGGCTTTCACTAAAGTCACAACACCAAAAATATCACACAATTTCTTGAACGAGTCTACGAGCTCTTAATAGTCTTGTGAGGTGGCTACACTTACACTAAGGACACTAAACTAACTAAATACTATGTTTATTTACACGTGAGTTGACTGCGTCATGGCTATCTTGACTCTAACCAAAATGTGCGCCAAGCGTCTAAAAAGAAGTCCAAGTTGGCTAGACTGAGCACCACTGCACAACAATAATAAATGTGAGTGTCACTTAGCACTGGAAAGCGTAAACACCTTTTGTCTTTGAGGTTGTTAACATGCAAACACGATAAGTTGTCTGATCACAAACACTTTATGATGAATATTTCACTAAATATTCATTTAAACTATTCACCACTAGAACCTTTTAGAATTGTTTGAAATTCATCCAAGCCGTTCTCATCCGGCTCGAAGGACCAAATGTTCTAACTTCCCGGCGACTGGTCCAGTGGGTTGACTGACGCGCCGGTGGACAAGGCCGGCATTACACAATTTTGAATATTAGACTCGCTGACTTGGGGCCCTCCAAGTCAGAACAAAATCATTTCAATAAAAGTTTTTATTTTTTCATGTAAACGATTTTTCTCTACTGCTTTAATTGAAAAATGCTGTTAAATTATACATGACTTTTAAACACATCACTTTGAAGGATTACACAGTAAAACTATCTAGATCAATTTATAATAAAAAAAGTGAATTTAACTGATTGTTGTGAAGACATGAAAATCCACTCATTTATTTTTAGAACATAGAATGGTTAAAAGTGAAAATAATGATTGAATATGATTTATATTACTTTACCAAAGCTAACGTGAAAGAAAAAGAAAGAGTATAAGAAAAATTAATTTCATAATTCTTAATTAATTCTATCCTCAAGTAATTCTTTTCTACAGAACTAGTTTCAGCTGAAAGAATGTTTAAAATGCAGAATTTTTCCCTTCCTCTTCACTACTGAATATAAAAAAAACTAATTAATTAGAGAGTCGAATGTAAAATGGTCAAATAATCGAAAAAGATCCTTCATAAACAATTGTAAAAAAGTCTCTTTTTATTATAAAATTATGATTCTCAGAAAGGTGTAAGTACTTAATGGTTGAAGATCAAAAATGAAGTAGTTTTCAATGTTTGCAGTAATATCGTTATAAAAATATTCATTAATGAATCATTTATTTTGAATTGATTAATTGCTACATTCGACATACAATATATTCTTGTTAATAAATTAGTTTTCAATATTTCCGCAATATATTGTGTAACTTAGCTTATTTACAGCAATAACCACTGCAAGCGCTACAGTAGGTTTCGGAACGAATCCTGTAGCTGTGGCGCCACAGCTCCTGTGGTTAGATTTCGGAATAACCCCTCTAACTTCTCAAGGTGAACTACAGCTCTCTGATGAATATAAAAAAACTTTCAATAACGAATTATTTTTACTTCATGACAGCGGTGGAGACGAAATAGATTTTTAGTATTTACAACTGTGAAAAATTTTAATTTTTTAACAAAATGCGAACAGTGGCTTAGTGACAGTACGTTTAAGTCAGTACCTAACATACTTTGCCAATTATACACTATACATGGATACATAAGTGGTAAAACTGTGCCTTTAGTGTATTTATTAACACGTAATAAGTCTAATAATATGTATATAAATTTCTTAAAAGTTTTACGTCGGAGCGTACCTAACTATTCACCATCACACATTATGGTCGACTTTAGAAGGCCTTTCATGGATGCTGTCTAAGACGCATATCCAGGAATCAAAATTTCTGGGTGTCATTTTCATTTCACACAATGTGTGTGGGGTCATATTCAACTATGTGGCCTTCAAGCATGATACAATAAAGATATGACGTTGCTCTATATTTTAAGTTATTAATGGCATTAGCTTATGTTCCAGTTAATGATGTTATAAGTGCCTATGAAGTAATAGTTTCTAGTGATTTTTATGATATTCATCATGAAATGTAGAATGATTTATTAAACTATTTTACTATGACATGAATTGGTAAACCACGCCATAATAAGAATAAACGTGATAAACTATTTTTTGAGTCTAAATTGTGAAATTATTATCGTGCCGTACTTGATGATAGAATTACATCTAACAATCTAATGGAAGGTTGTTATGATAGTTTTAATCAACGAGTATCTGCTTCCCATGCTACAGTGAATAAATTTTTAAATGCAATAAAAGCAGACTAAAACTGTAAAAATGTAAAGTGTATCGTTATTATCAGAGGTATAATTAATTTAATTTAAATTAATTTAAATTCACGTTGAATTATTAACCTTTCAAATACATTCTGAATCATTCCTTCAATTTTAAATACATGACATTGATCTGGTAAAATTAAGTTATCATTAGTATCATTTAAAGTACCATTACCAACATCTAATAAAAATTTAGTGAATTCTATTTCTGAAGGTAATGTACGCATATTTTGAGTCAATGTAAATTGATGAAAATGTGTCCAAAGATGGCTATACTTGATCGATAAAGTTATTATTTCTGATCGAATTGAATTTTTTTTTACAGGTAATAATTGTCTAAAATCACCTCCTAAAATCATTATCTTTCCTCCGAATGGTACTTCATTATTCATCATATCACGTAAAGTTCTATCTATTACTTCTAAAGCATATCTTGGTGCCATTGGTGCTTCATCCCATATAAAAACATCAATGTTTTTGAGATATTCCCCTTGTTTTGAAGTATATTTAATGTTCGATGATGAATCGGCAAAAAGAGGTACAGGCAATCCAAAAGCTTTATGTAAAGTTTTTCCATTTGGAAGTAATGTTGCAGCGATTCCTGTGTAAGCCATTGTACATATATTTTTTTTTCTAATTTTTAATAAATACCATAACGTTGTATAAATAAATGTTTTACCAGATCCACCAGGGCCATCTATATAAATACAATTTGCTACATTACTATTAATTATATTACATAAATTTAATACGTAATCTACAATTTCTTTCTGTTGTTCATTTAATGTTTGATACTGTTGAGTTCCACGATTATCAGTATCATCTGTTGTTTCCTCATCATCCATACACTCTGAAGCTCTTAATTGTGGCATACTTGGAAAATTCGACATTTGTATTCCTTCATCGCAAAGAATGGAATTTATATGTAAGTATGCTTTTTTTTGACCTAAAATTGAACCGAAGCGGCTTGTAAAATCTTCTGACATTGATTCTTTAAATTTTTCCCAGAGTTTATGAGGATACATTGGATTACAATGTAACAGTATACGAACAAATAGATATCTTAATTGACATGGCATCATCCAATTTATTGCTTCATGAAGTGCATGTTCCCATTCATTATCATCGGCAATTAATCCTAATGCGAGGCAAGTATCCATAAATGTGTCATATGTATGGCCATTTACTGTCCTAATATCTTCGAAACTTTTCGGTCCTCTTACTTTAGTTAATAATAATCTTAAATGAAATAATTCAACTTTTGAAGGACTTACTGAGTACATACGTCCAATGACTTTAAATTGTTTTTGACGCTGTGTCCATTGAAAAATATTTGTTTCATTTTGTTTTTTGAATACATAATGATTGGGTATATCCATATAAACATATTGTCTAGCATCTTGATCACGTGTATTCAATGCAAAAAAATCAACTAACATAGTTTGTTTCTCTAAAACGTTTCGAAGTTCTGTTTCATCACAATCATTATTGATCAGTAAATTTTGCTGATTTGGTAGGTGAACTGGTAATCTAATAATACTATGACTTTTTTCTTGTAATGGTTTTGATAATATTCTCCATACAGCTTCAACTGGTCCGACGTAGCGAGTTTCCATATGATTATTAATTTCATCATACTGGACAGTAACATTATTGTCAGAATCAGAAATATTTCCATTAATTGTTATCATTGCTTTATCATGTCCTTTGTAAACATATTTATACAAATATTTTACAGATTTTATGGATGAAACAATTTCTACATTAATATGTGAATTAAATCGCTTTGACAGTACTTTATTATATGGTACTACATGTTCATTTGTAAAGGTACATGTTGGTGATCGAATAAAACTAATTCCTAAATCTCGACGACGATAATGAGGATAACAATTTTCATCCATAGTTGTTTCTTGCTGGAATTTCTTTGGGTAGTGTTTCGAACATTTTCCATTCACTGTACACCAATTTCCGCATGGTCCATGAAACATATTTTTAGTTATTATATCATATAATATAGGATCGTCAGTTTCATTTGGTATTTCAGCACAAATATATTTATCAACCATTTGAGTAGTTGTTATTTTATGTCCTTCTTTTAATGTGATTAACATATGCATATGTGGCAATCCACGTTTTTGAAATTCAATTACATATACGTAAGCTAAAACTTCTCCAAAATGATGTTCTTTAACAATCATATTAATGAGAGCATTTTTTTTAATATTAAATACACGCGTTACTATATCCGGTCTATCTGCAGCAGTTTGTTTAGAAAACAAATTTTCTTTAATTTCAAGCCAGTTTGGATTACAAGTCATGGTCAAAAATATGTCAGGCTTACCAAATTTTCTTACTATTGCCATTGAATCTTGGTAATGTTGTAACATATTACGAGGGGATCCATTGAATGATGAAGGAAGAATTACTATTTTTCCAATGTTATTACTATTGTGAGCATTGTCATGATTATTGTTACCATTACAATATTTATTTAAATAGTCGACTAATCCTTCATATGATTCAGCGCGTAATTGTTTTTGATTAAATCTGGAAAAATTTAATCTATCTTCTTCAACTTTTACATAACTATCAACAACCCATTGTTGAAATAACCGACGTCCCATTAAAAGCACATTGAATTCATCTCTAATTGCTATTCTATACTTATGATAATCGTTACGAGTGACTTTTTTATTTTGCTTATGAACATAAGATATATTTTGATGCCATCCTCTTGTGCCAAACGGGTAAAATAATGGATAAATCCACGGCTCAACATTAGGATCTATTGTACTTACATATTGGAGAGATTTCGTATTTTTATTAATTACTGAAACACTCTTTATATTAATAAGTATTGAAAGATGTTTAAACGAAAACAAAAGAATTATGTTAATCTGCAAAATTTTTAGATAATCTATTTTTCTTTGGCGATAGTGATTTCACACTGATTAAAAATAGACAGTATAAAAATATCAAAAAAAAAACAATTATTAAAAAGGATAAGTTTAATCATTAGCCAAAAATAAAAATGTATTACATGTAATGTTTTTTTTTTAATTCTAATTCAATAAAAAACTGGTTTAGTTGGTTAAATAAAAAATGTCTTGGATCAAAATCTCCGATATTTAATCGCCACGAAAAGAAATTTTGTCGAATTATAAACTTTTATTGTTATAAACAATAATAATTTGTTTATAACAATTTTCATTGTTAATTAACCTTTTCTGTTAGAATCCTCGATATTTAATTGCCACGAAAAGAAATTTTGTCGAATTATAAACTTTTATTGTTATAAACAATAATAATTTGTTTATAACAATTTTCATTGTTAATTAACCTTTTCTATTAGAATCCTCGATATTTAATTGCCACGAAAAGAAATTTTGTCGAATTATAAACTTTTATTGTTATAAACAATAATAATTTGTTTATAACAATTTTCATTGTTAATTAACCTTTTCTGTTAGAATCCTCGATATTTAATTGCCACGAAAAGAAATTTTGTCGAATTATAAACTTTTATTGTTATAAACAATAATAATTTGTTTATAACAATTTTCATTGTTAATTAACCTTTTCTATTAGAATCCTCGATATTTAATTGCCACGAAAAGAAATTTTGTCGAATTATTAACTTTCATTGTTATAAACAATAATAATTTGTTTATAACAATTTTAATTGTTAATTAACCTTTTCTGTTAGAATCCTCGATATTTAATTGCCACGAAAAGAAATTTTGTCGAATTATTAACTTTCATTGTTATAAACAATAATAATTTGTTTATAACAATTTTAATTGTTAATTAACCTTTTCTGTTAGAATCCTCGATATTTAATTGCCACGAAAAGAAATTTTGTCGAATTATTAACTTTCATTGTTATAAACAATAATAATTTGTTTATAACAATTTTAATTGTTAATTAACGTACTAAATTTTTGCTCATCACTTTGTATTCCGGTTTTTACGCTATAGAATAATAAAATATTACTCCTATCCTTTTTCCTTTCCTTTTCTATAAACTCATAAACTTATAATGACGATAACGATTCTAGATAATCATAATATCACCAAAAAACGATCCTAAAAACGTTTAAAAAACTGTAAAATTATGAATCTGATGAGTGATTATACTAAATAGAAGTTTGTTGAATACTCTTGAAAAAAAAAATCATAAAAAAATCATCCTCTCTATTAAAAAATCTATTTTTAAAAACAAATTTTCAATCGACCAATCAGGGAACGAATAAAATGATGACACTGTCCTGATTGGTCAATTCAATTCTTCTATCGAAAGAACTAAGTTTTTTTATAGAAAAAACGATTTTTTTAATCGTTTTTTTCCTTCAGTTTATTTATTGGACATTCATCTTACATAATCTCTGACTTAATTGATGATTCTATGGTTTTTTATATGCTATCGGGAACCATTTCCATAGTTCTACAATTCCCCGGGAAAATGTCATGAGTTTTAATAGGATGGACTTGTGAGATTACAATTTCCCCATTGAAAAGAGGCAATTTCTTTTCGATGCTTTAATACGATTTGATATAATTCAATGGAAATATTGTTGTCTCAGAATTTCCTATAAAATTAAGGGTAAATTTATTGAATGTTTTAATGGGATCTTATTACCACAAAAAAACCAGTGGAAAAAACAAAAAAACAATTTGAATAGAACCCGTTTCCATTTTTTATAACAAATGGAATTGTTATAAACGAAATAAGAATGTTTTTATTCATTTGATATGGTTAATTACTTTATTTCAGTATAAGAAAAAATTGTGCGTTAGAAGAATTCAAATATACCTCAGAGATCCTTTTTTTCATTATTTACAACAAATTTCATTGTTATAAACAAAAAAAGTATGTTTTCATTTATGGCATACGGTTATGTATTATTTGATTATTACTATGATCAATAATCACTTGTTAGTAACAATTTTCAATTGTTATGAACACAATTCCATATTATTGACAATTATTATTGACTATTATAGCGTCTTTAATGCTGTTTTCTCAATCCTGACACGAGTTTAAAATTCTTTCATTGCTGATATTGTTTTTTAAATTTTTTTTTTTCGATGAAATATTGTCATCATATATCCATACAAGTATTCCAATCATCCAATATTCACATTTCTGCAATGATCTTGAAATTTTGTCTAAAAAATGGTATAATTTATAAATTGCAAAATTCAGGTCGTTTTCCATCTTTGCAATAATTCCGAACGTACGCACGCACATATGCACACACGCACATACGTACATACACACACACAGACGTCCACGTGAAAACTATAGTATTCAACCGGGGGACCTTAAAACGTGGAGATATGCCAAAATTAGCGATTCGCAAAATCGGACCCATTACTATAACTTCCTCCTGGGAAGTTAAAAATTATTTTAAACAAAACGAAATTTTAATTTGTTCTAGAGGATTTTTGTTTATACGAATTTATTGTTGCTATTCTAAAACATAGAAACATGACTTTCGCGTGATCTATTTAGGTTAAAAATTTGAAATAATTTGAACGTTAATTAAGTTTGCATCCTAGTAAGTATTTTAAAGCAGAAAAAGAATAATTGTCATTTGTGAAGATATGACAGGGACAATGCAATTCAGAAATTATATATTTATCCTATTGATTTTTTTTTCAGTGCAGTTAAAGTCCTTAAAATAATTGTAATGTTGGTATTGATTGATTTATTCACACATAATTTAAGCAACTTATTCTATTGGAATAGAAATAATAATGTGATATAAAACAATTTATTATCTACTCAATGATTAATGATACATTTTTTTTTTTCCCTTTAGTCTGCCCCACCTCCCCTGCACTTAGCCACGGGGCCATTGTACTAGGTCCAAACTTATGGTAAAGGCGGTCTTAGGTGGGTTGGTACAGCCCGGCCTCGTAGCAAAACTGCAGAAGCCTGTCCGTCCCGACCGTCTCGAGAATGGGTGCGTCGGTCCCAAGGTTCCCTAACAGGCGCTGCCTGGGTTCCCTTAGCCCCGAGCATTCCCTTATCATGTGGAGAGGCGTCTCTTCTTCCTCACTACACCACCGGCACGCGGATTCCTCTCCGCGTCCCAGTATCTTCATATGGCGTCGAGTTAGCCAGTGCCCTGTGACGGTGCCCACGGCCACTCTTAGCCTTCTTTTATCCAGTTCGATCAGGTCCCTACTCACTTGAGTTGTGGGTTTTCTGATGAACGCTCTGGTGTGCCTCATCCCCGAGGTCTCCGCCCAGTAGCTGGTGAATCTTTTGTGCAGCCACTTGTCCCCCAGCGCCTTCACAAGTTCCCCGGGAGCGTTTATCTCCACTGGGCCCCTGTCACCTCCGCCGCTGGCGCCAATACTGGCCAGCCTGTCAGCTTTGGTGTTGCCGCGTATACCGCAGCGACTTGGTACCTTTAGCAGCTTCAGTTTGTTGCGGCATGCCGCTTGTTTTAGTACCCTTCTGCAGTGGTCTACGAGTTTTGAACAGGTAGCCACTTGCGAAAGAGCCGTTAAGGCAGCATAGCTGTCACTGCAGATATAGATATGCTGCCCAGTGCAATCTCTTCTGGTGATATGCATAGCGCATAACAGGATTGCGTACACCTCTGCCTGGAACACGGAAGCGTCCTGGCCCAGGGTGTAGGATTCCTCCACCCGTGGTCCCCCGCACCAGATTCCGGCTCCGGCCTCTCCCCCCTTAAACTTCGCCCCATCCACGTACCAGACAGGCCCCTCGGACGTAAGCGATTCCTCGCCTTCCTCCAGCCAGGTCCGTCTGTCCATGAAGATGACTTCGTATCCGGGTGAGAATTCTAGCTTCCTGGGGCAGCGATCGACCTTTTTGCCACTGAGTCCCGTAGGGTCCTCCGGGCCCAGGATCGCCGCATGCCCTGCTCGAAAGCTCGTCCACTGTCTATGGCTCCTCAAGCGGATGGCCGCCCTCTTCGCTAGCACCTCCACCATCAGTTCCGGCGGAGGGATGCTCAGTAGGCAGCCCATAGCTAGGGTTGGGGTCGTCCTCAGGGCTTCCGTTATACCCAGCAGTGCCGCTCTATAGACTTTATTTAGTTGCGTCCTGCAGGCGTTCCTCCTGACGGAGGTCCACCATACTATGGAGGCGTAGGTTAGTTGGGGAATGACAACAGCTGTGTACAGCCATTTTATTGTTTTCGGCTGCAGACCCCATGTGGCGCTGAACATTCTTCTGCAGGTCCAGAAGGTAGCCTTCTTGACCTGTTTGTCCACATGTGCCCTCAAGTAGAGCTTCCTATCTAAGGTTACTCTAAGGTAGCACACTGTTTCCGAACATTTCAGCTGTTTGCCAAAGATGGGGGGAGGTCTGAACTCAGTCCTCCTTCCTCTTGTGAACAGAACCAGTTCAGCTTTGCTCGGGTTAACCCTGCGCCCCCGAACCTGGCACCATCTCTCAACGACGTTGAAGGCCGTCTGCATTCTGAGGGACAGACTTCCCAAATCGTCGCCTGTGACCGTGATGGCCACGTCATCAGCGTAGCCTTGAACGCTGAAGCCCGCCTTTTTCAGGTTCGTAAGAAGTTCGTCCACCACCATGGTCCATAGCAGGGGAGATAGGACACTTCCCTGCGGGCAGCCCCTG